AAAAAAAAGAGATTAAAGAAGGGAGTTTGGGAACAGTGAACGTGGCTGTAACTCGACTGTAGTCAAATAGAGTTCATATGTGACTGGCTAAATTGTTGAACAACCCTGTGTTGGGTTTCATAAGGACCTAATAAAGGCAGTAGGATCAGATCCTATTTTTATTTAACCATTTCGTTTTTTGCACACAGATTCTAAAGATTTCAAAATAGGAATGATATAGGAAAATGACAATTAACAACCTTTTGGCTTCTTGCCATTCATTACTGGTAGATGTCACTCCCAGCCATTTTTCAATCCGAGTCCGATCAATCTTGCTAATCTTTGGCAACTCATCCATAGAAGAGATTCCACTTGCATGCTCAGGGGACTTAAAAATGAAAACAAAAGCAAAAACACAGTAATAAAATCCAATGCAAGTCTAATTTGCTACCAAAGTTTACAAAGGTATAATCCACCAGTTTGATCCAATCTATTGATGCTTCTGTTCAAAAAGGCAGCCGGCATATTAGCTGGAGGCAGGTCAAAATGCAACAAGCTACTGGTATGTAAAAGAACTAACTCTTGGTCTTGTAACAATCTTCCTGGGATTAAAGTAAACTTGTTTTAATTTGTTGTTTTTAAAATACAAAGCAAAATAAACCCTGGCACCCCCAAACTAAGGAAAAATGGATTAAAGTGATTTTTATTTTGAATTACACTTGTGATAGTCAGAAGATGACTAATAGAATGTGCAACTCCTTTTTGGCTTGAATTACGTGGACTATGAAGCAGAGAAGACCAACACAATTAACTTTTAGAGATGGAACAAACTTTTAGAGGTTGGACTCCCAAAACTTAACTTTTCCTTCTTGAGGTCCCATTTTCTTAGTTGACAGTATCCCTTTCTGCATACCCAGTTACTGGTAAAAGGAAAAGCTTGGACAGTTTGGAAAATTCTGCACTGTCAGTCTAGCTTCTTTTTGGCAACACAATTTTTGAGATAGCAACAAATGATAAACTCAGAGGTCATAGCTGGGAGTGGTTGGAGGATCTTTTAAAGACAGGACAGCTTATGGCATGTCATGTCAGAGCTGTCAAAAGTAAGAGCTTAGCCATGCTCCCACTGAAGTCAATGAGAGTTTTGTTATTGACTTTCATGTGAGTAAGGTCAGATGTAGTAATCTATAGAGTGCTAAAGAGGGGAAAGAGGGATTTTAAGGAGGGAGCCTTGGAGTATTAAAATTGTTAACATTTAGTGGGAGGGGAGTTGAAAACTTTAATCTATCAGATAAATAGATTTCATCTTTTATTATAGGTTTATCTATCACAAATGTATCTGTGATACATTTATGATACATGATACATTTATCAATCAGCCATCATGGGCCTCCCTATCTACTTGGTATTTATGGATACTGATTCTCTGACTATGAAAGTGAGCTGCCTGAGAAATCCCTAAATTGACAGCCTGAGGACCATCTTTGCTTATTTGTCTCTTCTGGACTGGTCCTGCCAACACAGATAAACCTGTTGGGTTCACACTGTCCTTACACTACTTCCACCCTCACATTGACTTTATTCTTCTCAGAGAAGGGCTCATGGTTCTGAACCATCAGTCTATACCATATGGCTCAAAGCCATGAATTATCATTGTTTCTATAGGTAGCTAGTGCTTCCAAAAACTTTGAAGATGGACCAAATGCTCATACTGAAGCTTTTCAAGCTCAACCTCCATATAATATTATGGTAAGAATTAAGCCCGGTGTTCTATCTACTGTTCTTGGTGTATTCTGGGGATATAAACTTATTACTGTACACATTTCCTTTTAAAACAATACTGATTCATGTACTCATGACCAATTATGGAGTAGACTGTTATTTTCTATAAAAAAAAAAATACTGTGCCAATGTCTCATACCAAATTAACATAGTTTAACTGAAATCAAGAAACTGGTACTTACCTAATAGCATCTAAGGATTGAGCCCATATGTTTGATTTGGGGGAAAAAGGCAAAGCACAGATTTTCAGGGAGGAGGTAGCAACCCCTTTATTAAAGCTGAACACTTCCCAAAATTAAGGTTTTTATGGTTTTAAAATAAATGCCTTCATAGTTTGCAGCCAAGAGCACTTAACATTTTGTAAAGGAATAGTGCTAGAGCCTTCTGTTCAGGTCTGGACAAGTCATAACTAGCTACAAAACCTCATTTTTCTTTGTGCTTTGCTTGCTTTACCTGGTTCCTGGTAAAACCATTGCTGCTGTCAACCTCTTAGTTAGAAAGAAGTAAGTTTTGCTTTAAAATGAGTCAAAACCAAAGGTGTTAACATGGTACTGAACAGTTGCTGGCAATACTGCCTTCTATGACGGAAAAAACGAGCTAGATGAAATAAAATCTCCAAGAGAAATTAGTTTTACCTGGGACTGAAGAATGCTGATGAAACTGACATACGCTCCAGCAAAAATCATTTTCACCCCAATGCCAGACAGATCTGTGAAGACATGAATCTGATCAACCCCAGCTGATTCTGGGTTCCTCCTGCAGTTCATACTGCTGCTCTGTTCTCTTGTGTACTGATCCAACAAAGCCCAGCCCAAGCCAAGGCAGTTGAGAGATTAGGAAGAAGCAAGTATGTGACAAGATAATGCAGGGGTTCTCAATCCTCAGGCTGCAGCCCGGTGCCAGGCCGCAACAGGTCAGCTGCTGGTCCGCAGCACAGTCGGCTGCCGGACCGGAAGTAGCCGTGGACCGGCAAACCGCGGCCCCTCAGAACTGGGCAGAGAGGCCGTGGCTTCTTCTGCAGGATCTGTGGCAGCACAGGGTTTGGCCCATCCCCCAGCCTGAGGGAGTGGGAGTATCTTTACCTGTCTTCCGGCCAGCAATTCCTGCCATGGTTGACTGTGATTGCTGGGCCGCGGTTTGCCAGGCCAAGGCCACTTCCAGGCTGCAGTTTGCTTGGCCACAGCATAAAAACTTTGGGAATCCCTGCAATAATGTAATTAGGGGTGGGTGACCAGGGCACTAGCCCAAGGCACCTGCTTAGACAGGAAACAAGAACAGTAGCAACTGCCTCCAGTCCAGATGCCTCTACTGCCCAAGGCACAATCTGATTGATACACCTCTGACCAGACTAGATGCTAGAGCAGCGGTTCCCAAACTCTGAAAGATTGCACACCACCAATTTACATACAACCTTAAATACCACCAGCAATTTTTAGTCATATAAAGTACAGGTTTTCCTCGCTTTATGCAGGTTCTGTATGTGCAAATTCACTCTTATGCAATAACCCTTTTTAGACCAAACATTTGTTACATGCAAGGTAAATTCACTCTTATGCAATCAGTGTGGTGGAAGCCTGCAGTCAGCTGCTTTGTGCACTGCATTGTGGGAGTGACACACACCAAAATATAGTCTCCTCTGTGGATCTGTGTTCTTCACTTGTTGTCTGTGACATATGTGTTTCTGCAGTTGCCATCCTCATTATGATGGTGCCCTGTGTTTGTATGTACTGTCTGCTGGTGGTAAGTACCAAAACTGTCTTGTAAAAGTGGTAGAAATGGGTCTGGGGGGTCAGTACAGTTGAGGTCTTAGAACATATCCCTATGTTACATTGTAAAATGGGTTCTCTTTATGCAAATTTGAGTTATGTGCTGTTTTCCAGGAACACACATACAGCATAAAGTGAGGGAAACCTGTAATTATAATAAATCTGTTAATGCATATCACTGACTGGTTGTCTGCATACCAACGGTAGTACCCATACCACAGGTTGGGAACTGCTGCTCCAGGGGATGCTTCAGATATATACAGGGCAGAGGCACCATAACACCTAACCCCGGATATACCTTCATGTGAGTTCCTGTTACCTGGAATTACTGTATTACAATTATGGAATAATCAGGAGAAGTTTTTTCTAATAATGGAATCAGCTGAAGTTTCTTTCTGGTCTCTGCTAGTGTTCGATTTAAGCTCTACAGCAGGGGTGGGAAATCATTTGGGCCTGGGGGCCACAGAGTTTTGATGAGTTGTCACAGGCCGTATTTTGCCCACCCCTGCTCTACAGTACTAGGATACTATATTTCTAGCTCTAGGTATTTTAATACTCTTGAGGAAGTTTGTGTTATCCAGGTAAATGTCATACCCTTTTCTGAAACCAACTATGTGGCTGACTTCAATTATATCTTGTAGCAGTAAGCTCCAAGAGTTAATTATACACAGCATAAAAAAAATAATCCCACTTATGATTAATACCATTAGCAGAAACCAGGCTGCTGATGTCCACACTCTGCACTTGCTCTCCTTGGCTATTGGTTGTTTCATTTTCAGCAGGTCTTTGAGGTCCACATCCAAAAGACATAAGCTGGCCAGAAGCTGAGATATAAACCAGGGTGTGGTAGCTGCCAAAGAGAAGTGCGGACATGTCACAACCCGGTTACAGAAACCGCTGTGTTCTCTCTACATCAGTGTTGGAAACATGATTACAAATACAAATCCACTGCAACACCTAGTGGTGAAAGTCAGTTACTGAGAGTCAAATGTTGTGGTCTGTATTCTGCACAACTGCCAACTTCCTGCATGCCCTTTGGAAAGTCAGTCTCACTGCACTGCCGTGTGCCTGTTTGCCAAAGGAAACCACAGGCAGGTAGGAAGACTCAGCCTCAAAAACCAGTGACCTGATGGCTGAAAGGCATAGCAGGGCAGTATTTATGTCCACTTGTGGCAGTGGTCTTCCTTGGCCTTGATTCTTGACTCCAGACCTAAGGCCCTGACACTTGGCTCTGTACTGGTTCTGTTGCTGGTTGCTCCCCAGCCTTTCCTCCAATTCTTGTGCAGCTTCCTCCACAGTCTTCTAACTCCAATGTGGACCTGGCAGCTACCCTGTTCTAACCACGGCTGTGGAATGCCTACACCTTGGTCATTACCAAGAAGACATTGATGTCATATATCTTGACTTCAAAAAAGCCTTTGATCTGGTATCTCATGATCACCTCTTGGTGAAAATGGCCAATTGTGGCCTTGGGTCCACCATGATCCGCTGGCTGGGAAATCGGCTCTGTGGTCAGACCCAGAGGGTTGTAATTCATAGTTTCATAGATTTAGGGTCGGAAGGGACCTAGTAGATCTTCTAGCCCGATCCCCCGCCAGGGCGGGAGAACAACAAAACCCCAAAACAAAAACGGGACTCAAATGAGTCCAGCCAGGTAGGCATCCAGCCTCTTCTTAAAGACCCCCAGGGTAGGGGCCAGCACCACTTCCCTTGGAAGTTGGTTCCAGCTCCTAGC